ATTCTTGAGTCRGTCTATGTGAGTCAGTCCGTTTATCAGACTTCCGCTGCATATATGCTCATCCTATATTGGTTGATCTTTGGTTCTGCCCATACTCATTGAAGTATGTAACATCCATAGCCGAGAGGAGCTACTCTCACCTCTCCCTACTACACCTCCCTAGCCATGGAGGTCTTCACCTTCACCCTCCAGGAGCTGCGCCAACTTCTCCCTCTTGGCGGAGCAGCTGGACTCCCGGGTGAATGAGCGGATGGCTCACTGCACGGAATGATATACTCTTGCTACCCCAGCCTCCAGTCCCTCCTGGCCAGGTACTACCTCCTACCCTGGGGCACTAGGCCTATAAGAAGTTTGTGCCTTTCAGCAGGACAAATTCAAGCAGATTTTATTCCTAAACTAGTAGAGGCCGGGGTCCTTACAGTCTACCCGGAAAACAGAGGTACTACGATGACTACCAGCTTTGGTTACCTGTGTCCAGGGACTGGGGAATTCCAAGTGCATCAACACAAGCAAAACAACTGAGTGGCTACTAGACTAGCAGACCTACCTACCAACTTACCCATCCAACTTCCATCCTACCGATTGCCACCTATCCTAAGTGGATAGCAGCTCCCCTGAGGACAGCGGTGTGGAGACTTGACCCTCCTAACCCTACTAGACTTCACTTGGGCCTAGCGGATTTGCTGAAAAATCCTTATTGGGACTAGGCAAATTCTATTTCTACCCCTGTCTGTCCTGGCCTTCCAGCATTCCTTCTGGTGCACGGTGTCAGTCCTCTCCCTGTCGTTCTTCCTACGGGCTACTTTGTCCCTGTCCGAGGCACAGCCACTCATCACAGCCAATAAAGTTAGCACATGGACCCAGACTCGGACTCAGGCAAACACACAGCAGACATACGTTAGTGGTACACACAGCACACACATATTTAGAAAACACAGCGAAAAGACTCAAAATCAGACTTTTCAGAAACCAGATCGAAAGGCAGCATTTTCTCAGAAAAGTGCAGAATCTCTGACTACCATTTGTGCAGGTCACAACACCTTGCGGGTGCTAACTTGCTTAATTTGACTCTTATAGAGGAAACAGCAGGTCTCACGTAACGCCCCCACTCGAGACTCTGCCACCAGTGTTGGGAAAGGGCACACTGGGCCTGGGAAGGCCCGGAGCAAAAATTGAGCAGAAGGGGGGGGAAAACGGCCACACGGTTTCTCTTTTTGGGTTGGCTTTGGCTCTGCAGCCCAAGTGTCAGGCAGAAGTGGGGTGCAAGGCGTCCTGCCATGCGGGGATGGTGTGCACGCCAGGCTGTTGATGTGACACACCACGTGTGAGGAGTGGGGAGGTGGAGGAGGGAGAAGGAGGGAAGAGGAGGGAGGGAGATGGAAGGAGGAGGAGGGAGGGGGATGACAGGCGGAGGACGAGGGAGGATGATGGATGATAGAGGGGGGGGGAGGATGGAGGGAGGGAGGAGGACGACGATGACGATCGATGGAGGAGGAGGGCGGAGGATGGAGGGAGGAGGACAGTGATAATGGAGGGAGGAAGAAGGAGGAGGACGATGACGATTGATGGAGGAGGGGGGCAAAGGATGGAGGGAGGAGGACAGTGACAATGGAGGAAAGGAGGAGGGCAGAGGGAGGAAGGAGGAGAAGGCCTGAGGGAGGAGGAGGCTGGAGCGAGGAGGACAGCGACAGTGGAGCAAGGGAGGAGGATGGAGGGAGGAGGATGGAGGGAGGAAGATGGAGGACGATGACGATCGATGGAGGAGGGGGGCTGAGGGTGGAGGAGGCCGGAGGGACGAGGACAGCGACAATGGAGCAAAAGGGAGGAGGATGTAGGGCTGAGGATGAGGCAGGAGGGTGGAGGATGGAGGGAGGAAGATGAGGGAGGAGGACAGCGACACACATGATATAGACGGTGTGAGAACAGCCAAAGGAACGTGCGAGGAGGAGGACGGAAGACAACAACGACGATCGCGATGGGGGGAGAAGGGTGGAGGAGGGAGAAGGATGGAGGATGGAGGCGGAGGAGGGAGGAGGAGGGAAGATGGCAGAGGGGGAATGGAGGGAGGAGGAGGGGGTTTGGAGGGCAGAGGACAAGGGAGCAGGATGGAGGGAGGAGGATGAGCGAGAATGACAGTGACGGTGGAGGAAGGAAGGAGGACAACGATTACGATCATTGGAGGAGTAGGCCGAAGGGAGGGGGGCAGCAGCAATGGAGCAAGGGACATTCACCATCCTCCATGCCACAAGCCATGAGACCTCTTCTCTGAGGTGCTCCCTTTCCACCTCTGAACATTTTCCCCACCCTTTCCTGAAGTTTGCATCGCTTCTCCAAACCTCCTCCTGCTTTTGTTCAAGCCTGGCCATCTTCCAACCCCGCTCTACTTTTTCTCTGAGCCTTGCCTGTATGAACCCCCTTCCATCCGTTTTCCCTCACCATTTGCACGGTTCCCCCAACTTCTCCTCCCGAACCTTAGCATAACTGAACTTCTCCCAACCCTTCTTCCTCAAACCTGGCCATCTCCAGACATCTCCCAACCCTTCTCTGCACCCGCTTCCTTATCATCTGTGAACTTCCTCCCCAAATTCACCCACATGTTCTCCTAACGTTCTGCCTTACAATTTCTGAGCTTTCTCCCAGTCCTTTCCTGAAGCTCCCCTCGTGTCTCCAAACCACCTCCTGGTTCTTCACGCCTGGACATCCAAACCTTGTTCTACTGCATCTCCAAACCTTGCCATGAAAACCTCCTCCTAGTGCTTCTCTGTCCGCACTGCCTTACCATCTGCTAACTACCTCTTAAAGGGAGGGGGGGGGGGGGGGGGGGGAAGAGAGAGAGAGAGAGAGAGAGAGAGAGAGAGAGAGAGAGAGAGAGAGAGAGAGAGAGAGAGAGAGAGAGAGTGTGCATCTCTGCAGTGATCATTGAATCGCTTCAACAACCATCTGTCCGCACGGCACCCCGCCGTGCCTGCCACATGTCCTGGGCTCACGGGCGTAGAGAGAGACTGTGCATCTCTGCAGTGGTCACTGAATCGCTTCAACAACCATCTGTCCGCACGGCACCCCTCCGTGCCTGCCACATGTCCGCGGGCTCCCGGGCGTGGCTGCCGTTGGTTGGCTTGTTTCGTTTTACGATTATTCTGTTCAACGGATACAATGATATTGTGTTGAGTGTTATGTACCCGATTGAACTTCCATCCACAACGAATTCACACGTTCCCATACACGCATGCAATTGCAGAGTAGACTCGGACGAGGAAAATCCATACAAAACCGGAGAGAAGATATGCACAGCGGAAGCTCAAAATACACAGAGAATTGAGAAACGAATTTCAATTCTGCAATCCCTCGTCCTCCTCCAATCAATCCAGAGTACTTGTTCCAAGAATCACAACCGCGTTTACAACCCCGAACAGCCAGAAACAAGTGTTCAATGAAGTATGCAGAAGTCTTCTTCTTCCTCCTCGCCACCTCATACCCCTGGCTATGGTTGCCATAGCAGCAGCAACCCAACAGCTGTCACAACGTGCCAATCTGAACCAGCAGCCCTAATGATAACAGCGCCAGCTCAGCACCCGCACGGAAGTGCAGCGCTGGAAGTCGTGATGAAGAAGGAGACAACCGATCCAGCACTTCGAAGAAGACAAGGTTCCTCGAGAGTAGGAACAGCAGATATGGCTGCCAAGTGGAAGATGGCAGCACCCAAACCCAACACCACAGTCCTGTGGAAGCTCTCATGCAGAGCTGCGAAATAGCAGCAGTGCGATCTTCAACTTCGTTTCCCAACCCCAGCTATTGCTGGGCTGAAATGAAGAAGATGACCTCACCCAAAATAGAGCAGCAGCGCTCCAACAACGGACTGGCAGAGTTTCCCCAGCCAATGAAAACGTGAAAAGGCCCACACCAAATTTCCTACCCGCTACTTCTACCCTCTGCCCAGACCTATGACGGACTCCAAAGGCAACAACCCAATACTCATCTGCATCTAGATGGAAACAGGGGGAAAAGGGGACCTAGACCTATGACAAGGCAAAAGGAAAAGGCCGCATGGCCTAGGACTACCAAACAGAGACTGCTAGTGACTGACTCAGGGATCAAGTCCCATAGGGCACAGCACTCACAAACAAAACACACGAGTTACAGGTCACGGGATCAAGTCCCACAAGGCTCAAAACAAGAAAACAAACTACAAAGCCACACACTTAGCGTACATCCCCATTGGGAAACTGCGATTTATAGCATTCCTACCCTCCCGGGGAGCGAGGACCCACGAGCTACATAACCAACTACCAGCCATATTGGCGGAGAGGTATTAGCTAGAGGATCGCTAAACATCCATAGTGGTGGAGAACGCAAAGACCTCAGAATATCAGCGGGTCATGGTGAGATTATCAGGGTAGATTCATTAGTTGAATGAGAGGGTATTAGCCAGGTAATCAACTTCTAGGCAACCAATCAGCTTCTGAAATCTACGGGTTGTAGCTCAGACTATCAGCGAGTGTTGGCTAGCTGAATGCAAGGGTATTAGCCTGATAATCAGCTTATAGATAGCTAACAACATTGCAATCAGACTCGCTTTCTTTTCCCCTTCGCACTCATGCAAACAAATGGTGAGTCACACTGGCGCACAGCGCCCACTCAAAGCTCAAAGATATGGAAGTCGAAAACACAGTTCAGATACAAACTCGCTTTGACAGGCTATGGCGCATCAGCGCCTGTACATCCCAACTCTCGTCTCTCTGTCCAACACCATTGTTCGCACTCACTCAACGCTGGATCACCCTGGATATCCCGCACACATACGCACTCACAAACACACTACTACTAACACCAGCTATGGCCGCCGTGGCAGGCGGCTACTATTAACTATGGCACACTACTTCCACTTCGGGCAACTGCAGACCACCTCGCACAAGTCGCTGTGGCAGCGCTTCCGCATGGCTTACGCAGTAATGAATGAATGGCTGGACACTGCCTCTTGATTTATACTTCTGTTCGCTGCTGGTCTGCCCTTTTCCACCGGGCCCCTGGTGCACACGGTCCCACATGGTACTTGCTGACTGGACTAAGTGAGACTGGGACTGGGTACCGCTGACTCGGCACGGGTGGACTCACCACTTGCCCACTTGCCTCTGGTCTACTCTGGACAACGTTTGAAAGGCCACTTCCGGAAGTCTGTGGACTTGGCCTTTCGACACTGTAGCAGCTACGACCTTGACGTTTTGAAACACTACAGCTACGACCTCTGCTACAAACTTGACCCCAACGCGACAGACCTACGGTTCAAGACCTGACAGACACACTGGCCCACGATAGACAACAACTAACTCCTAAGACACAGGTTACGGGTTCAAACACACAGGGGTACTGTACACAGGGGAGCGAGGTCTAGGGATCGAGCCCCGGGATCTGCATCCGCTACTGCAAAGGTGAAAACCGTTTCACTCTCGCCGACCTAAATTCGAGGTCCTCCTAGAATAGCTCAGTCCAAGGCAGGACCTTTACCCTTCTTATCTCTTTCGTAGGCTCGGACTATGTCGGGAGCTGTTTCTAGAAGTTCAGTTCTTTACACCAGCCGTCGTCCTCCGGTTCCTAATAAGCAAATCGGACCTTATATTGTTTCTGGGGACGACCTCTACCTCCTGTTCGGAACACATCTTCACCTACAATGCCGTCAATGTTGTACCTTCCATCCATGCCCGGAGGGATCATGGATCTTCTTGATGGAAACTGTAGACTTGTGACACACGACAACAACTTTGACGCATGAAACACAGGGTAGGTGTGGAGGTGTGCTGGGATCTCTATCGTATAGGACGGCCCATCCTCTCCACCCATAACTGCTAGGACTGGCCACGGTCCTCTGTACGCTGGCAGTAGCTTCTGCGAAATGTTTTCCTCAGGAGCAAACTCTTTGGACTTGACCCAGACTAGGCTGCCTATTTGAAACTGCGACGGGCGACGGTGCTTGTTAGCATGTTCTATCATTCTATGCTGGGCCTTCCTGAGGTTCTCAACAACGGTAGCTAACTCCTCCTCGTGTTGTATTGCAAATTCCCTAGTACCGGGTGGTAGCCTATGAATTTGGGCCCGATTAAGTCCTTCAAACGGTCTGCGAGGTCTAAAGGACTTATGCAGCTCATTGGGAGTACGACAAGTGGCTAGGTGCACGCTGTTGTTATATGCATTGGCTACCTTGGGCAACATCTCATCCAGTTAACTTGATCTGGTCTAATATACATACGCAAAACTTGTTGCAGAATTTTGTTCATCTGCTCGGTATGACCGTTAGTCTTTGGGTGACGACTAGACAACATTATTAACAACTTTGACCCGTACACTTTCATTAATTTCTGTCAGTTCTGACTTGTAAACCGGGTATCCCTGTCACTAACTATGGACAATGGGATTCCGTGATCACTAACCCAAAAGTCAAAAAACTTCTGAATTACTAACTCTGTACGGGCTTCTGCGGGTAAGGGAACAAAAACAGCATATTTGCTAAATCTATCCACTATTACCACTAGGTAAACTACGACGAATCTATCTAACCAAGGCCTAAATACATCATTCATGCAACGCTGAAATGTGGCTGGCGCATTTGTCAGTCCAAAGGGCATCAAAATGAACTCAATAATGCCCATATCTAGTCAGGAAAGCAGTCTTATACTGGTCATCAGGATGAACATCTATCTGATGATATCCGGACTTCAGATCTATCTTTGAGAAATATCTGCAGCCCTGCACCCGATCCAGAAGATCGTCTACCGTAGGCAGCGGCTCAACATTCTTCATTGTAATTGCATTCAGACCCTTATAATCAATGCACATACGCAACTCTCCCTCCTTTTTGGGGACAAACAAAACTGGTGCTCCGAAAGGAGACGAACTGGGCCTAATCCAACCCTCTTCGAGAAGTTTGTCTAACTGTTTACATAACTCCTCTAATTCTCTTGGGGACATCCTGTAAACTGCACCCTTAGGAGTTCTACTGCCAGGCTCTATTTCGATTCGATGCTGGATTGGCCACGGTACTACCCCTGTTGGCGGATCCCCCAAATCTTTGAACTCGTCCAGCAACTTGGCAATAGCTGGGTCTATTGGCTTCTCTTTAGTAGGCTCAGTGACAGGCCTCACGTAAGCTACGAAGACCTGCTCTTCTAACTGCTCCTTCCTTACTAATCGCATGAACGAGGGAGCACCGGAACAACAATGTGCCAGGGGGTTATCTACTCCTGATACATGAAACAGGCGAGCAGTCTTAACTTCGCCTGATGGACTAGGGAGCCTACGCTCATGCTCTCTCAAATGGAGTGTGGCCCCTGCTGCCTCTCCCCAGTCCATACCTAGGACTATATTTCAAGGGAGGTTGTTCTCTACGAGGAGAGTCAGGGAATGGAGTACTTTCTCCACCTTGCCATCTTTCTGTACGCATAGATACACCTGGACTCCCTCGACATAATCCTCAACACACACCGTACGGTTGTTTGCAAGGATACTGACTATGGGGTCTTCCAACTTGTGGACTTTAAGACCTAGCCTCAACTTCTTTAGCGCTCTTCGGCTAATATAACTACGAGTAGCCCCTGAATCTATAAGGGCCCTTACTCGGCTCCTAAAATCTTCTAAGTCAACTAATACTAGCTGTCCTTTATTCTCCTTCTTCATCTTGGCCCAGGTCGGCATCCTCTCCCTCAATTCTTCTGCCAGACCTGTGAGGGAAGTGCCTAGAGAGACTCTAACACAGGCGTTCTCTGGACAGCCAACTAGGCACTGGCCTGCAACCTCTTCCATAGGCTCATGTGATGTGGGGGTTTCCTGGTGGTGCACGCACACTTCCCTACATGGCCTAATGGTAAGGGCAGTTGCAACCCCTACCGGCGGTTGCCTTTTGACCCCTGGGCAGCAAATCGGGCTTCCCTATACTTTGGAAAATATTTAATAATATGGGCAGGGTCACCGCAATAGATGCACTGCCACTGCTCCATTCGCTGTTGCCAAACTTTCTGGTCCAAGCCCAGATCTTCCCAAGGACGGCCTTGTGGCCAACGTGGGTGCCAACCTCCTCTCTGTTGAGGTGATCCTCCACCTCTACGCTGTGGTGATCAACTAGGCCCCGAACGATTTGGCGGGGGACCTTGACCCCTACCTCCCTCTTGGCGGTTCCTTTGGCCGCCAACCCCCTGTGCGCCCGGACCTCGACCACCCACAGCCCGACCCACTTGGGCCCGACCTCCTCTACTTTGCAGCCTCCCTCCAGCCGCGACAGCAGCGTAGGTCCTCCCTTGACCCACACTACTGTCTTCCTCTTCAAGCCCCCACTCTATCTGACTGTAGGGGACTTCGTCAGTACCACCCTCGTCTAAAGTAAGGATCAGGTGATCCTTCGCCCTGACCTGACCAGAGATGGTACAACCCTTCCACTTTTTCCCTTTATCTAAGTCCTTATGCTAGAAAGTGGACACTGGCATGGATTTGGCCTCAAACAAGACCACTTCCCTACTTAACGCATCGTACGTGATGGTGGCCTGTTGGGTTTTCTCAAAGAAATGCCCTCGTAAGGGCTCTGGCATGGCACGATAGAATAAGTTAACTAATTGGGTCTCAGTGACGCCGTGGTCTGGGACGACACTAAATCATCCATAACTGCTTTGAGTGCCCTTGCACTCTTCCACTGCCGCGAGTGGATTGTTTGCAGTTTATCAGAGGCCCCGACGCCTCGCGTGACGTCTGCAAATCTCTCCCTAAGGATAAGGAATTTGTGAAGAGGGGTGAGTTTAGAATACGCAACCATATTGTTTTCACAATCGGCTGCTCGCGCGAGGGACCTGGCGAAACTAGTCGCTTCGTCTTTTAAAGCATGGAAGGCTACGAGGACTTGTTCCTCAGGCGCAATCTGTTGGAGATACACGTAAGTGTTAATGCTAGCCTCCCAATTATCGAAGTTCTCGTCCTCCTTCTTGCCATAAGAATCAGGAAACTTAAGCTTAACAGGCTCTTTGCGAGGACGCCCTTCGATCTTTGCAGCGACCACTACCTTGGCGCCCTCGATGGCGTCTGCGCAGAATTTCTCTGCGCCCTCCTTCCACTTTCTAACCTCGGTCCCTACATGTGTCATTACATCTCGCGCGAATTCCTTGATACCGGACCGGATGGAGCGGAGGGCCATGTCTTGGCCCCTAACAGACTGATGATGCTTAGTCCAGGCCCTACCTAAGATCTCGATGCTACCAATGATCTTGTCCAACTTGGCCTGGATATCAGGTTGGGCCTCTACTTCCTGTTTGCAAGTCTGTAAACTTTCCACTTCCCTAGCCATCCGGTTGGCTTCCTCCGTCCTCCTCTTCTTCTCTCTTGTCAGGCGCAACTTCCAGTCCAACCTCGTCTCATTTTCTATTGCCTGGCGCTCTAGGGGATCACTCGTCAGTTCGATCTCCCTAATCGCCGTTTCCTTCTCCTCCTGAGGTATATATAGCATCACCTCCTCATCTTCTCCTAATGATAAATTAGCCACCCATTGAGATATCCTCTTCTCTACCCACGGGTCATCTTCCTTCGTGCCATTGCTTTTCTCCTCCTTCCCCCACTCTTCTTCTTCTGAGGGGCTCTTCTTCCGGCTCCTCCTCCTCTCTTCAATCTCTTCCTCTACTGCAGCCTTCATTCTCTCATCCTCCTCTTGTTGTAATCTTTGCATCTCCTCCTCTAGCTTCTTTTTCTTCGCCGCCTGCTCCTCGGCTATTATCTTCATCTTCGCCTGTCTAAGGAGCTCCTTCTTTTCCTTTCTCTCTCTTAGGATGGCGGCGGTTTGCTGCTCTTGAGCCTTGCTATAGGGGGTGGTGCTCTTCCCACTGCGAAGGTCAACCATGGTGATAGGTGCACAACCGGACAACAGTTCCAGACCTCACCACTTAGACCTGGGCACCTGATTGACTGGACCTAGGACTCAATCTAAGGACCACAAAATCCAAGTGGGATTCTGTCAACTAGGGTCTCTAGCCTAGACCTCCTCTAAGGCTGTCACTACAGGACTTATTGTTGATCAGGAGGCATTTAAGGAGATCCCCTGTAACTCCTCAGGAATTATTTAACGTCGCAGACAGGACGACGCGATCAGCAAGTCCTCTCAAGACTTAGACAGCCCGTTGTGCAGCCCACAGCTCGAATTTTGGGCCTACTGTGCCAAACCGAGCAGCCCGCCGGTCAGTACCGGTCCTTGCGAGGGTTCGTGTCCTCCGGGACAGTCGAGTTGTCAGACACGGTCTTTGGCCCTACTCAGCCCGTGTGGGTTTGGTCAACGAGGCCCTATCCTTCATACACGGAGTTCCTAGCACCTGGACAGAAGAGACTCAATGGAGAAAGAAGCGATAGACAGACTCAGCAAGTACCATAGGGTGAGTGCACATCCATAGGGCGAGGGGATAGACTGAGGGTTTGGCGAGAATATACCAACTCCAACTTGGTCAAAGTCGCGGTCAACATCCCTGGTCAACGCTGGTCAAACCAACTTCGGTCAATCCCTTGGTCCACACCTTGGTCAACCTTCAACTCGGCTATGGCTGCCGCCTTCTTCTTCCTCACCACCCTCACTTCTCTTTCCCCTTCCTTTCTTCCTCCTTGCTTCTTTCTCTCCTCACCCTGGCTATGTCTTCCTTCCTCTTCATCGTCCCTCCTTCCTCTTCCTCAACTATGGCTTCTTCTCACTTCTCGGTCTCTCCCTCCTTCTCTCTCATTCATCTTCTTTCCTCCTTTACTCGTCTTCTTTCTTCTCCTCCGTGTCCGAGCTCCGCGGCTATGGCCTTCTTCTTCTTTCTTGGACCGCACAACCAATCTTGTATCGCTCCTCTCTCTCTCTCTCTCTCTCTCTCTCTCTTTTCGTTGTTGTCTTCTTTGCAGGTACGCGACACCTTCCTCCACCAGCGCAGCTATGGCGGACTTATGGCTATGGCGCCCAACTCCAGCATACCGCGGACGACGACGGCGCGTGAGATAGGGGGTACCAGCTCCGACACCAATGCAATCAGACTCGCTTTCTTTTCCCCTTCTCACTCATGCAAACAGATGGTGAGTCACACTGGCGCACAGCGCCCACTCGAAGCTCAAAGATATGGAAGTCGAAAACACAGTTCAGATACAAACTCGCTTTAACAGGCTATGGCGCATCAGCGCCTGTACATCCCAACTCTCGTCTCTCTGTCCAACACTACTGTTCGCACTCACTCAACTCTGGATCACCCTGGATATCCCACATGCATACGCACTCACACACACACTACTACTAGCACCAGCTATGGCCGCCGTGGCAGCCGGCTACTACTAACTATGGCACACTATCCTCCTCACGGCCCACTTCCACTTCGAGCAACTGCAGACCACCTCGCACAAGTCGCTGTGGCAGCGCTTCCGCATGGCTTACGCAGCAATGAATGAATGGCTGGACGCTGCCTCTTGACTTATACTTCTGTTCGCTGCTGGTCTGCCCTTTTCCACTGGGCCCCTTGTGCACACGGTCCCACATGGTACTTGCTGACTGGACTAAGTGAGACTGGGATTGGGTACCGCTGACTCAGCATGTGTGGACTCACCACTTGCCCACTTGCCTCTGGTCTACTGTGGACAACGTTTGAAAGGCCACTTCCGGACCTTCCGGAAGTTTGCAGACTTGGCCTTTCAACACTGTAGCGGCTACGACCTTGACCTTTTGGAAACACTACAGCTACGACCTCTGCTACAAATTTGACCCCTACGCGACAGACCTACGGTTCAAGACCCGACAGACACAGTGGCCCACGACAGACAACAACTAACTCCTAAGACACAGGTTACGGGTTCAAACACACAGGGGTACTGTACATAGGGGAGCGAGGTCTAGGGATCGAGCCCTGGGATCTGCATCCGCTACTGCAAAGGTGAAAACCGTTTCAACATCCTGAAAATCAGATGATCGAGGTTTAGATTAACAGCATGGACCACCTAGTTGAATGCAAGGGTGTTAGCCTAGTAATCAACTTATGCTATAATCCATTAATTCTGAAAACCTGATTAATTTCTGTCAGGACTGGGTATCAGTTAGACTCCTCAACTCCTGATCTGTGCATTTGCAAGCGTGATACCCAGATTCTTCCCAAGAATAGGGTAGGATCTGACAAGATCTGTATATGGGGCTAAGCCTAACCATATTCAGCAATAACGCTTGTAGGGTAGGTCTATCTGAGTAGAGAGTTTAGTCACAAACTGATTTGACTCTGGCCAATCAGGCTGAGACATTACTAGGACAAAGCCAAGTGGTTAAAAGGAATCTGCTAA